AAAAAAAAAAAAAGTGTCGGGTGTCGAGTGGAATTGCTTAAAATTAAAAGTGTTGATGGCAACAAATTATTGAACGTATTTTGTATCGAATTATTGAGATTAAGAGCCTATATAAGTAACTATTGAGATCGGAAAGTGATGGATAGACAGTGAAACTTATGTATTTATTTTTGTGGGGGTTCCATATATTAATATAAACAAGGATCAAAGCAGCCAAAAAGCACAAGAAATACAAGAATAATATTGGGAATACATCTCATTCATGTTGTGTTCAAAATAGTAAAATAGCACAGCCACACAAAAAACAATAACACTACCTTAAAACAATGTAATGAATCTTGTGAAGATTGCCTCATTATCCTCATTGCAAGAGGGAAAGAGAGAAAAATAGGGTGAGCATGGTGCGGTTCAGTGCAAAACCTCACCGAATCGCAAAAAACCGAAAACCGAAAATATTTATTTACCCAATCCGAACCGCACTGAAACGGGTAGAAAAACCGAACCGAAACCGCACCGAAATTTTCGTTTCGGCTCGGTTTTGCTCACCCTAAAAATATCAGCCTAGATTATATATATGTACATGGGATGTTCACATGTCTGAGATAAAAACGTCGAACACGTAACAAGTTCTCTAGTTTCGATTCAACATCCATGAAACGAGATTTCAAAACTGAAAATTTCAACAACTTTAACCCCTCAAAATTTCAACACAAATAGAGAGCATCACACAAAAAAACACGAATCATCGAAAAAATATAAATCGTTTCACATCATTACCCTTCATTAAAATCAGACATTTTAGACAGTACGGGATTTGGCATCCACAAAAGCTTGTATCGATGGCTCCCTTCCAAGAAAGTCAGATAGCATCTCAAGAGGGTCTTTTGCTCCTCCAGGAGCCAATACCTATTGCAACAATGACATCAATGGAAATAGCTGAGAATTAAATATCAAAATTTGCTGCGTAAATAGTAAATACGTCACCAAATGATAGTTTGATCTACAAAGGGACAGAATGAAATTATTTGATAAAGACCACTGAGAACCGTAACAAAAAAGAATGTAAAAATTTTACCATATTACGGAAATGCATGCCAGCATTCGCGTTGAATATGTTTTCTCGAAATTTCGTGGCAAATATGTCTGCGGCAAAAACCTACAAATAATATAATATTATGTGAAAACGAATGCAACAAAACAACCTTTACACGTTGCAACTCCTAAAGTTCTTCATAGAGAAAAAAAAAAACACAGACACACACACACACACGCACAAGGATTAGTAAAAAAAAAAAAACCTCGCTCCATATCCGACTATAGCAAGTAGCTTCATAACCAATAGCAGTTTGAGGGAAACATGAAGCAGGATTAGTTCCTTCTAACATTGGCAATCCTAACATAAGCTGCAATTTTGAGGGGCACAATTAAATTAAGCATATACTTGGACAAAAGCAACATGGGAAATCAAAAGCAAATAATACCTTAGAGTGAAGGTGCTCGAATAATTTGATCATGTCTACGTTCTCAGACGAATATATGATCTGATCAAAAAGGCCTGGTGAAATGAGTAGTGTGTTAGAAAAGCTGATTAAATCAAAAGCACGCGTGCTTTAAGGACATTTTATGACGAGGGCATAAAAATGTCTTTGAAATAATGTCCAACTTGGGGAATAATTGCGCATTTTCTACAGATAGACGTACAGTAAACAATTTCCTGTTTTAATTTGAGTGCTGAGAAGGAACTCCGCCATCTCTTCATTGAATTACACATCTCATCCTCAATCGGCTTAGTGATATCCTGCAATTCAGAAGGTATAACATCAAAATGTTAAGGTATAATGACAATAATTGACACTAAAGAAAAAAACAGAGTCAGTTTGAACAGTATTAAAGACAGTACAGGTCATTTAAATACTAAATGCACACCCCGAAAAGAAAAGGGAAATGTAAACAAAATTGAAAACACTTAAAAGCATGAACCCTTGTCCTCATCAGGATTCATCCAAGAACATACTGAAAACTGAATTTGAAGTTTGAAAGTCATTTTCCACTCGTAAATCGGAATGAAGTAGCAAACAATGAAAATAACCTGATGAAAACCAGAAATCAATTTCAGAGAGCTGCTTTCATAGCACCTGCACAATAATTTGTGCAATAAGTATCTTATGTGTATACAATCACATCAGCAATCAGAACAAATAAACACTATGCACACACCAGTTTTCCAATAATATGGATGGGATCTCGACAAAGTCAGGATCCAAGCGCAAGCCAGAAAACCTAGCAAATGGTGCACGATTGCAAATATGATGCACCTAAGATCACCAATCAGTTTCTTGATTGAAAACTATAAGCATAACATAAGATGATATTTTGCACTGACCAGGCAAAATTATGTTAATGAAGGTTGAAAAGTTATTCCACAGAATCTGGGGATGTGAAATATAAACATACCACATGACCAAACTCATGGAACAAATTTACTACTTCAGAAAATCTCAGCAATCCAGGATGTTCATCGACTTCCTTTTGCAATTGAGCTATCAGTAAAGCCACGGGAATCTGGATGTGATATTTCCTGTTAGGCCAAATCTCATACAATTCGACAAATAACACAGACAACATGCCACAGCTTCAAGATTTAAATATACGACAATGGTCAATTTGGTAAACATTTGTGGGAATGCCATAAATTTTAGAAGATTGTGAAAAGAAAGATCAGCACCAAAATAACTATCATCTGATGCAAAAACAAAAATGTAATAACCTGTCTTGTATTGTTAATGCATGAACTGTCTTGAAGAGCCACAACACAGGTGTGGCCAAATTTTCCTTCCCTATATAAATGAAATTCATGGTTCAGTTTGATTTCGTGCAAGGTATATAGAATAGCAGAAATCTATTTTACTAAACCGAGTTAAGAAAAAAAGAAAAGAAACCTGGTATACATATCAAGATAGAAGTAACCCATAAGTTCACCAGAGCTGAAGTCAAAAACTGAAAAGAGTTGCACGTCTTGGTGCCAAATTTCTGCATCAATTACTTCCTCAAGTCTTAAGCCTGCAGCAAAACAATGAAATCTTTGACCATGTTTAAAACAAGAATCAACAGATGCATTGAGCTCTGCAAAACATGCAACTGATAGGAATTACCAAATAGGTCTTGGCATATTTTGAAGATTCCTGATAGAACTAAGCGAACTGGAAAATACTGTTTGATAACTCCAAAATCAAGATCAAATTGCTCTTCTTTGAGTCTCTTGACATAATATGGGAGGTCTTCAATTCCAAATGGATATTCTCCTTCCTCTTTTCTCTTAATCACCAGATAAAAAGTTAAAAAACTTTCATTCCATTGTAACAAGGTGGCTATTAAATTGAAAGATGTCTCTTTAAACTTGATAGAAAATCACAAACAAGCCAACCTTTACTTCTTTTAACACATATAGTTCCTTTGTTGCAGAATCCGTTAATCTTGCTGACATTTCCTCTAAAAACTCGATCACCTAAAAACAGCAGAAGAAATTTGTCAATAAGAGAAATTTTCAAACAGTGGTGTCATTAATACAAGACATGTGACAAGGCATGAAAAAAGAAAAATTTTAAAATCAAATCATTTCAGATCAATCATTACTGTACCATATATCAAATCGGACGACCATCTGGAAACAGAGAAGAAGTTCAAAAAGAAAAAGGAAATTGAGAAAAAAAAATGAAATGTTCGACCACCACGAGGCTCTTGCAACGCCCGGCAATGTAATTTACCTTTTTAAGGCAAATAGGAGCATCAAGGCACACACTTCGGTAAACACTAAACAAGGACAAATTATCAAATTATTGGTATGCCGGGACACACCTTCTTTGATGAGTTTGCCATTCTATGATCAATAACATATTCTGCATAGTTTGGGTAGCCAAGCAATCTAGCAAGTTTATGACGTAACTGAACCTGCAAGCATAACATTGAATACAAAAGTAAAATGCTTATGGTTTAACAAGATATTGAATGTAAAATGTAACTTTCAATAGTAACTTTGAGGAATTAAGTGGAACATAGTATTTACATTGACCACGGTACGTCCAAAACCAGGAAGAAGCTAATAACTAACTTTATCACTCCCAATACTATACCAGTTCTCTATGTTAGAATACAATACTCCAGCCTACTAAATTCAAAGATATTCCACAGAAAACCCCCAAAAAGAAAAAAACACTTGAATGCTCCAGTATTCTATTCCTAAGTAGCCAGATCAATATGTCTATCCTTAACAATTTTTTCCCGTCTGTGTGATGAAAATTGTGCATAACAAAATCAAGGCAAAATCACGCAAGTTTGATGACCATCTACACATTTACCAGTTTTTCCAGTATAGAAAAATTGATTTCACACCTCCTTCCATAAGCTACAGCCACAGACTTCCTGGTTGATCCAACCTTCATAGAGAATACAAGGGATAGGAGGCTCAAATAGTTGCAATGTAGTATACAGTTATATATCGACAATAGAATATAGACACAAGAGGTACCACATACACCAGATAAATGTGCAGTGTGAAAACAAAATATTACATTGGGTAGTAATGAATTGAGAATGAAAAATTCTAGGAAATTTCTCAAGAGCTTTCGCAAATTTCACAATTCCACAAGTGACAATTAGGTGTTCCTGCAACTCTTAAAATCCTTGCCCATCAAAGCCAAATAGTGTTGCAAAAAGCAGATTTTAGACATAATTGATACTCATTTGAAAGTTTGATTGCTTGTTGATCAATTGAATCTTCTTTATAGTGTGAAGACGATTGTTTCAGTTCTTACAACCTTTTTCTAGAAGACACGTCAACTATTTACTAAACATTTTCAGTCATTCTTTTACAAGTTTTATTACTCCATCTTTGATACTATCCATCAATTGAAGACGAACTAACATATAAACAACCTCACCCAACTTGGCATCTAGCAATAGACTGTTCAAGTTTCTATCAAAACATCAAATCATTAGGACTCTAACTATCAGTTCTATGGAAATAAATTTCTCGTTTGAATTTCTTATCTATGTTACTGTAAATTTTATCTCACGGATTCTTAAGCAAATTGAAGAGACAAAACAATTCAGATCTCGGTAACAGAGAAAAGAGCATAGATAAGCCTTAGAGTTTTACCTTACATAGCTCTAGAATGGGTGACACATGAAGGCTTCTTATCACAACTTTGTATTTACCACTTTCAGCTTTATCCAAACTCTGAAATATACACAGATGTCAGAGAGAGAGAGAGAGAGAGAGAGAGAGAGAGAGAGCAGATGAAGAAACTTGCATGCTAATTTTTTAAGCTTCGACATTTTGAATCTTAACAATTACAATGTTGTATTACTTGTTAAAAGCGTCTGGCAATATTAATTTTATGATAAGAATATTACAGAAGAACAAAATAATGCACCAACTCCAGGAAAATTTATCGAAATTACAAATTTAGAGATATGTGAAAGGGCAGATCAAAAGTCCCAACCTTGAGGAACTCTGGAGGTAAACCAACTAGCTCCATATCATCAAAAAGAAGAAATGTACAATCATCATTCAGATTTCTGATGTATAGCATACTTAGCTCCTCTATCTGTGTTCTTAAGCGCTGCAATTCCTGTCTCTTGGTTGAGGTGAGATTCAAGCCATTCCGTTCAAATTCTTGAATCTGTCACTAAACATTTAAATAAGGATTTGACTAATGATACTGCTTTTAATATGAAATATAAAATCACCAATAAAAAAAGGGTTCCTTTTCCAAAGAGCCAGCAGTCAATCATGTTTATGTTGTGACGGCAGTCCACATATGGTGCTCGTGACATGGTAGTATCAAATGAATCAATTGAATGAAAATGTGATATAGAAATTTATGAGCGCATTGTCAAAAAATTAGATATAAAAGTAGCATAATGTGATTTCATAAATAGAAATTAAAGTTGGAACTTAATTCCAAGATCAATTATAAATTATACAAAACCATCTATGGAAAATGTATAAGATATTCCAATGTTCTATGTTTTAATGCTTTATTTGAGTTACATTCAATATTTAGAAGAACTTTGTTATAGCGTGAAATTCAGGACAAACAGTTGTGCGGCCAATTATGGAATGCCCACAATAGCCAAGCCATCATAGATGAACAAGATAAGATGCTTATATCCTAAAAAAAGGTCATTTACGAGAGATATACCAGCCAAGATAATTTCTTAACAAATTCGTACCAAATGCAATGCATAACGCTTGGCCTGAGAATTCACCCAGTCTCCTCGGGCTGTGAAAGCTTTGATAACACGATAAACATCGTCACGCTTTCTGTATACTTGAAAAGAAAAGTGATGACATTAGGATCCACGAAGGAAGTTAAAATACTAAAATTTTCACTGCTGAAGTGACCAACAAAAATTGTCTTTTATCCAGATACTTGAACCAACTAATTAGTTTAAAACAATTGATAAATTCCATTCAATTCCTCAACCAAAGCTTTAATCAAATTAATTAGTTCATTTTAAGCTAGTGAGAGTCATTTTAAGCTAGTGAGAGTTTATGGCCATCATATACTAAACTGTAAGACTATCATTTAGACCAGTCTTAAGAAAGTTCAAGGACTACTCTAAAAAATACATCTTCATACTAGTGGCTAGGGTTTTCATCCAACAAAGTGATCCAAAAATTGATTCAACTAAAATATTAATTTCATATTATTCTTGTTTCAGATCCAATCAGTTCTGCATGAGTTCTCGAATTGGATAACCATGTTGAGAGCTTTTCTAATTAGCTCGATTGAAAACCCTACTCAAATGTGAAATTTGAGCAATAAAATGGACTTGAATCCATATACAGTAATTTAAATATAAAGCATATTATACATGTTACTTACCATATAATTCTTATTGTACACATGATGCATTTTTACACTATGCAACACAGTTTTAGGACTAGCTCGTGATCAAATGAATATGAGATCACTCAAGGGCGAAATTTTTTGACCCCCCTCATTTTTCAATTTTTTTACTCTTAGATATATTTAATTTTAATTTATTTCATTTTCTAATTTTTATTTTTGCCCTCTAAAATAGAAAAATAAGTTCGAAGGACAATCAATAAAATTAAAAAAGAATAAGAATAGTCATACCGATTGAAAAGATGATACTCTCCAATTGAAATTAGTATTAAAATTTTGAAGTTTTTATGAGTCATCTTTTAGAACATTTCATAAATTTCACTTAGAACAACAATATAATAAAGTATATCAAGCTCTCTAAACAAAATTTTCACTAGAAAATATATGTGGACTTGTTTGTTTGGAAACTAGCCTTTAAATAAATCAAAGCTTGGTTTCAAGCTTAAAGAAACTTAGAATTGACTTGTTTAAATAAATAGAAGCAAAAATAACCATAAAGAATAATATGTTGTTTAAATAAAAAGTAATATTAAATGCAACATATACATAAATAAAAGAATTATGTCCATTGCATATGGAGCTGGAAGAGTCATTGTTGACAATTCTCCTGACATAGTGCTAATGATGGACTAGATCAAATGGCTCAATTAAATTCTAGTGCTTCTTCTATTAGTGAAGTTTCTAGAAAAAAAAATATATCAAACGATGCAACGCACCATGGGTCGCTATGGAAACAGCCTCTTTGTATAATTACAAGGGTAAGGTCTGCGTACAACTGACCCCCCAGACCCCAACCTGTTGGGAATATACTGGGTATGTTGATGATGATGATGATGATGATGATACATAAATACTAGAATGTGTTTGTAAAAAACACTACGGACTAATATACCAACTTGTTCCAAAGCAAGTATGCGGGTCAAAATAAGAGCTTATGTTGTGCCAAGTTTAATGAGCTACATTTTGAGGTCGAGCTTGATTTATTTATTCTACGATTTGCGAAAACCGAACTTAAATAACTAGTGAATAAGTCCGCATGTATTAGAATCTAGTTGTAACTCTTAACAATATGCAATATAGTTTTACTGACTGGATCATGATGAAATGATATGAGATCACTATACAATAGTAAATTCATTTAGTAAATATATTTACATATGAGAAGTGACAACATTTTTTATGTTGGTTATACTTATAAGTACCAAATAAGATTAATATCATCAATTGTCAAGTCCTAAGAAAAAAAAGAAGACATACAAAACAAAAGCCATGAAAGTGAGAACCACTATTTAATTTGCACCAATAGCTAAACTGAATACAAGCTTAAATAAACATATAGTAAGGCGTGATACGGTTGTGATTGGTTGATGAATGACCCAGTTCCTGCAACATCCTAATAAACGATTTTATGATAGATCCGTCGAGGTCTCTACTTAGTGGTGTTTTCTCTTCTTATTTAGATTGTTACATTACAATATGTACAATAAAGAGTTCAACTGAAGGCAAGAACGAAAATAAAGTATAACCTGCATGAGGAAACATGAGAATCAATCCTTTGCTCAGCTTCAAGGCTCGCTTTGCGAACATCTTCAGAAGAAGATACCAATTTCGGGAATGCACAAGACTGTATCAAAGAAAACTGTTGTGCTTCTAATTCCGCCAACGGTAGTATTGTATTGACATAAGTTACCTGTAAATTTGTAGATAAACCAGGCAAGTGCGTAATTATTACAGCCAATTGTTTTCACTATAATAGGAAACTTTGTACTTTTTATTTTTGGTTTTACTTATTTTTCCCTTTTTCTTAGTATTTGGATTATACAACATTTATAAGAAAAAAAAAGATGTGGAATAAATATCGCAACGTCATTGTTTACATATTCATTTTCTTTTCATAATCTTAATTTTATTTAGCTAATGAACGAAAAACACAAATACAAATCCGCACTAAGTCATTGTTACCAATTGAAAGAATCATTGCAAACTTGATTATAATGGCAGGTGTTTGTATCGATCCAAGCTTGAACCCTACATCGTACATTTTTTTATTTTCATTAATTTTCTTTAAATAATAATGGAAATCATTTTAGTACCAAATAGAAGGAAACAACATAAAAAGAATCTAGCTTTAGGCTAATTGCCTTGATTTTTTTTATCAGTTAACAGAAAGTTGCTTTATAATAAGTTGATTTTTGTTTATTGCCCACATTCATTTCTTTTCACATAATGAATAAGTTGTTTGTTTCAATAGAGTGCTTTAAACTTAAAGATACAATTAAGAGAAATATTTAGTTTATACGTAAATTCTTTCGACTTGAATCTCAATATTATTTTTATCATAACTATTTAATACATATATCAAAAATAAATTCTATTCATAAATTATATATTTAAAAAAATTATAAAGAAAAAAATGTATTTATGTGAGTGAATGGGATCGACCACGCTATTTTAAAATTCGGGTCGACTTAATCACCAGGTCTTTACTACAATAAATTAAAAACATGACCAGACCCTTATTGCATTGTCACTGTGTAAACCAGACCCTTATTACAATAAATTAAAAACATGACCAGAACATCGTGACACGAAAATATTCAATGATCTATAATTTTTATATCTTTTGCTTTTCACTTATGTGGACCAAATGTTGTTGTATTATAACAAACACTATTATATGATAATTTATTTATATTTTATTTTGAAATATAGTCTCAATTTTGCTCCTCTGTGAACGGAGTATATACTAGTACATATAAAAATGTTAAGATATATTAGAAATACACTATAATTTTTCCACCAAATTATTTATTACTAAAGTGGAATATTTTTATTTCCTAATTTTTTTACTCATATTTTCTTTTGAGCTTTGTTTGTATTTAATATTCATATCTTTCTTTTATTTTTTTCTCTTTCGTTTTGTTATTAACTATTTTGTTAGAAATTATTAACTTTTTTTACTTTTTATGTACATTTATATACAATATATCACGTAAATTATCTTTATAGAATTGTTTGTTCGACATTCATGATGAATATGTAAATAAAAAAATAACTATTTTTACCAACATAAAATTTTATCAAACAATATAGATTAAAATATGATGAATGAGTATAGAGATATCTCATCAAACAAATATAAATGTATATTGAATAAAACTAGTATTTGATACTGTGCAAAATGCACAGGTATAAAACACGTTTTCTGTTTGCATTTATTAATTAGACATGTACTTATATCATATAAAAATTATTACTTGTTCTTAAGTTATTCTTATCATTCAAAATTGATTAAGATTTAAATTTTATTTTAACCATGCAACGTTTAAAATAATTTATATATTTGTGGCATATATTAAGAAAATTAACATAAATAAAAAAATATTGGTGTTTCAAATTTTTAGAAAAAAAAAATATGTGTCAATCATATTTTTCTTCCAACAATGCAACCAAATATAGCGGTTATGACTCTGAATGTGTCAATCAACTTTAAGTTCCAAACATTAGCCGTTACACATTTGAATATTTTGCTACCAAATTTAAAATTAATTTAGTAACTGATCCAAAAAAATAAATAATAAAAATATTTATATATTAAGGTTTTTTGCGATTAGTGAGTAATTAATTAAAAAATGTAACTCCTTTTGGAGGGAAATGAAAATAAGTTTTTTTAAATGTTTTATTAAATGCATCAGCTTGTAATAATATATATAGATAATAATGATAATAATAATAATAGAAGATGTAACATAAAAAGATGGTAAACAATAATCAATATTATTAAATTTATTATTAGTAATTAAATATAGAGAGAGAGATATAAATGATAAAGTTTGTAATGGTTTTTGGAGGGAAATCGAAATAAGATTTTATTAAATGTTTTATTAAATGCTATTAGCCAGCAATTATATATATATAGATTTATATAGTATACAGTTTTTTTTTTTTTATATATTTCTCTGCTTGAAAGTTATTCTAATAAAAAAATATATGTGAATAATTATTTCAAGAATCAATAATATATTAAATGAAAAGTATAAACAAACATGTAATCTTTCGAATCATCATATGAATTAGTAATACAAAAAGAAAAACCAATATATTTATATAAATTAATTTATAATTTATCAAACACTGTAATTGAAAATTATTAGACTTTATAACTTGAAAATAATAAATCACAATCATTTAGAATAAATTTAGAATAAATAAGTGTTGTTTTAGATATCACTCATATGTATAAATGCATAATGTCCTTATCTTACGCGTCGATTCTGATTCTTCGCAATTCTAGTTCATCGGGCTTTGGTGTTTCGTAGTTCAATGTGTTTAGTTAAATTACGAATATATTTAGAAGTTAATAATTTTCTTATTTGTTATAGATTTTTATATATGATATACAAAACTAATCGTTGCATATATAAATAAATATGTATATTTACATTTACAATAAAAATAAATTATATATCAATATTAATTAATAAATAATAAAATTATTTATCAATTAAATAAAATTATATATTAATTAGAAAAAATATTATACCATAAGAAGACAGACAATATTTTCTTAAAAAATATTTGAAATTTAATTACAAAAACTTCTCTCTAATTTTTTTTTAGAATTTTGATATTCATTTTTTAAATAGGACGTGAGTAATCAAAGGTGTTGTACTAGTTTAAATTTGCTTACAAATTTATATGACGTATTTGAATATATACCACAATTTTCAACTTCGACATTGATTGTTTTGGATGTAAAAAAAAATATTGTAATAAGGTATTAATAAAAGAGACAGATAGAGGGGAAATAATTAAGAATAATATTAATTGATTAGATGTAAACAATATGGTTTATAAAAATCAATATTCGTTTAATGATGTAACGTATACATTTTATTATTACAAATCATGCATCGCAAGGCCACGTACTAGTGCATGAAACAGAAAAGGAAAAGGAAAAAGATAAAGATCGGGGGACCTTCTAAGAAGCAATATTAAGTAATCTTATATCAAGAATTTTACGTTTGGACATCACGAAAATAGTTTAAACATAAGCACAGCACAAATATTCAAGGATTGTTAAAGCTAAGAAGAAAAATAAGTCTTGAAAGCTCTTACTTTGTTCTTGAAGGTTGGAGAACAATACACGTAGTCAAGCACAAAAGGGGAATCTAGGCATGTAGATCGTGGAGTACTCGAATAGAAAATAGATAAATAACATTACTCCTATGTAAATTTCATCTATGGTAGTTCTATTCAGATATAACATGTCCTTTAAGCAACTTAAATGCAATATATTCCATTTCGTGTGTAACATTGGAGAGCGAGTGTGGAGCTCCTATTTAAGGAAAAATCGTACCCACACACGTTCGTAATCTTGAGACCTCAATTGCATACATCAAAATGCAAAGTGTACTCGACTATCGTAGGGCGTAATATGGGTCTATCTCAAAACGCTAATATACTTTGAGAAAGCCAAAACGAGGTATAAGCTTTAAATAGGTTGTGATGATTTTGTGTTATCCTCACATTCCGTACCTTATCAAGAGGAACTGAAGCAACCATGTCATGGACCTTCTTGGATTTCGCGATAATGCTGTCTGCTAATCTCAGTATCTCGGAAGCGGATAAATTTATTTTTACATTTGTACCAGGAACCACTGGATATCAAAAACAAATACATTATTAGCAACAACAGTTAAATAGACATTACCATCAAATGCATCCATTTACTAAAATTAAATAAAAGATTCAACTGATGTCTCTGTATTTGCACTAAAATGAAGTCATCAACACTAAAAATGGCCCGTTAAAACCTCGGTACTCCCGACCAACAATGCATCCCCAATATTCTTGACATGAAAAAAAAATTCAAAATGGCCCAAGGACAAGTGCTTTTAAAATTCAAGCTAAAGTATTTACCCAATTCAACAAGACTAAAACATATCAATTAGACATGGCTCATTAGCAGCAGCAAAAAAGACGAACATTTAATACAAACATCCACACAGATATAGCCTACAGGTATCATCAAGTACCTTTTCTCTTGCGATTCTTGAAGTGAGAGTTGACCGCAGCGACGGCGAAGTTGACGGCCACAGCTAGAAGGGCGGCGGCACCGGTCAAAGCGATCAGCTTTGCTCTCTCTTTTCTGGTCCCGTCATTCTTCATCGTCGAATTTGTGATTCTACTGTTGTTACCCTTTTTCAATTTTGCTCTCGCCTATTGGATTTGTTTTCTTCTCTTTTTGCAATTATTTGTATCAATGCCGCTGACAATGGTAGGGTTAGACTGTTAAAGGCGGGGAAATGAGGGCGGACTTAAATAATATAAACTTAAAATAAATAAAATTAATAAAAAAATATAATAACTCGGTGTTAAAAATAACATGGGTGAATTAAAATTTAGAAAAATATTGCAGTCCCGTTACGGAACCATTCCATCGGGATTTGTAACCGTAAGATCATCATGTAACCGTCGTTGATAGTTGATTTAACGGTTACAAACCCCAACAGAATAGTTTCTTAACGTGACCGTATAATCTTCATATAATTTATATATATAATTGTTAGAATATAGCATTTAATAAAAACCTATTTAATAAAACTTCTAACTTCTAAAATTTTTCTTCCATTTACGGTTACAAAATTTATCATTAATATGTGTTTACTTCTCACATTAATACAACCTATTGAGTGTAATAATGTATATTTCTATCATATTGTACAATAGTTATTGCTAATACCAACTAATAATAATTCACAATAAATATAAATTGCATTATTATAAGCAATTGTTTCAAATTATTTGTATCAACATCAATATTATTTTTTTCTTGTGTATCTCATGAAAAAAAATTCTTTAAAAACAATTAGTAAATTGTTTTTATAGCATAATCAAACAAATTTAGAAGTTTATAAATAATTGTTTAATAATAATAATAATAATTAAACTGTTATTATCTAATGATAATAAAGAATTGTTCATAATAATAAAATCGTTAATTTATTTTTTCTAATAATCAAATTTTTGAAAATGTAATATGTTCATTATTTAGAATTTTAATATTAAATTCTCAAATATTACTTATAATATTTTATATAAATCTGTGCATGTGCACAGGATATCTACTATTTTAAATAAATAAATAAATAAATATTCAAACAAATTGTTGAGAAATAATAAAAATAAATTAAATTTTTTTTACTATATTTTTTTTAAAAAAATCCTAATTATACCATTTAATAATCTATTACTATATAATAGAGATAAAAAAAATACATAAATAGTATGTCATTTTTCCGCTTATTTTTTCGTTTTTTACCATTTACAAAAATATTTTTTGAAAATTTTCATTTTATCACTCCATTGACACGTTTTTGAATTATTAAAAAAAAAAAAAAAAAATCTTAATGGAATGTTTAAAAAAAATGAAAACTATAACCTACGAAATTTTAAAATTTCGGCAAAACAGTAATGTTCCTAAAATTATGCAAAATCTTCTATAAAAATATGCATACAGTTTCTTCTGATACTTAATTGATAATAATACACCTATTTGATCATAAAATCACGTAATGGTTCCCAAATTGGCACAAAATTAATTATATTATTTTTCTTTCCAACATTAAATGGAATCTTACTTTGTAAATAATCTATTATGTAGGAATTAAATTTGTACAATCAATTTATTTTTTCCCAGAATTGGCTACAATTTTATTGTTGCATATAATATGTTAATTCGAATATGTAAAAAGGAATTTAAAATTAACCTATAATGTTGGAATAATATTATTTTAATCTATAGAAAAAATATATATTTCATTTAGGTTAAGTTTTTAACCTATAATGTTGGAATAAAATTTATTTTTAGATTTTTAAAAGTAAAGATTTGAATAAAATATTATGCTGCCACACATCAAAAAACAAAATTTGATGTTATTTTGAAATGTGTGTCTAAAGATAAATTTAATTTTACTAAATTTTTAATTTTTTAATTAGTTTAAAAAATTGATGTAGTAAAAAAGTTGTGTTGTCACACATCAAAAATAAAAGCTGACTTAATTGACACCAATCTTATCTTTCTATTGTATAGTTGCATTTCTCATTAATTACAAGAAATATGGTCACGTATTCAATCTTTTTATCAGTTCTCTTTGATTTGTGTGTCTATCTGCCACTCATTTAATTGATGTGTATAATTAACTGATATTGTATTTTTTTTTCAAATATCAGTTTACAATACAAAATACTATCTATAAATTAAGGTGTTTGTTGTGATGTTATTCATTACATCCTCATCATAAAAAAATAAAAAATAAAATCATAGACCTCTGCCTTATATTTCTCTAAAGTTGTAATGAATAACAATCCAGATTGATCCAACCCAAATATGTCAAACTCATCGGAGGATGACAACCGTCTTCCATAAATTCACGTTATACACGAAATAAGCAGTTTTCTCAATTTCCTATAATGCAATTACAACCCCAATTTCAAAATTTTCCTTTTCAAATACCAACACCAATGTCTTTTTATCCAATTCCACATACTTAAGAACAACATTCTTTTATCCAATCACTAGCAA